ATGCAGTAAATATAAACAAATTAAAATGAAATTTCAAAGTTTAAATAAAATCAAACAGTTTAAATAAAAATGGTAAATTAAAAAAAAATGAAAACAAAATGAAATAAATGAAAACGAAAAAGGAAATAAAATCCAATAAAAAATAAAACTAAATTGCAAAGTTTCAAACAGAGTGAAGTTTATAAATTAAAATTGAAAATAACTAAATATAAATAACATTAAATAAAACTATAGGGAAATATAAAATTTAAATATTGTTTAAGTAAATTTGACTCAGTTCAAAATAAAACAAAATGAAATAAAATTAGCTAAAATAAAGCTTAAGAAAAATATTAAAATACTTTAAACTAAGCTATATTCAATTAAATACAATTAAAAAGTAAAATCAAATAAAATGGAATGAAATTTAATAAAACAAAATAAAATTAAATTTAATAAAACAAAAAGAATAAATTAAATAAAACAAATTTAAAATATGAAAATTTCCTCAACTAAACTAAATCAAATAAATTTAAGCGAAATTAAATTAAGTAAAAAAAAATTACTTAAAAAAAAATTTAAACGGAATAAATTACAATTACATAAACATTAAATTTTATTAAAATTAAAACAAAGTAAAATAAAATTAAAAGAATTGAGAAAACTAAATGAAATAAAGTAAAACAAAATTCAATTAAAGCAAATAGTATTAAATTCATTTATATAAAATTAGAGCAATTAAAATAGAATAAAATTTAAATAAACAACATAATATAAAATTAATTTAATTTAAATAAGATAAAACAAAATAAAATTAAATTATTATTTAAATTTTTTCCAACTTGTAATTTTCGTTATGTTAACCCCAATAGCAACAATATTACGTTTCTAGAATAAAAAAAATCATATTATGTCAAATACTCAACCATTTCTAAATAGCATTTGTTTTTGCAGTTATCCGTTTATTAACTGTCAATTGGTTACAGTATGCCATTCTTAATCCTCAAAAATTATCATTATATGATAAGCAAAGCAGAATATTTATGAAAAAAAAAATGCAATATTTTAGTTGGTAGCAATCACCAACAAATTTACATTAGCTTAATTAAAATGCAAAAATATATTTGTTTGTATATAAAATGGTGTGATTAGATGTATAAAGTGATAAAATATGACATATGGTAGACTTTCATTGGAATTTACAACGAAAGTAGATATTAAATTACAGCGCTCGTTTGAGATACAGATACAATATATAAATACAATGTACCTATAATTTTTTTTCTTTTATATGAGAAATCTGAGTTATTGTCTTTATGAATATTAAATTTTTTAATATAATTTTTATACATTTATCTGTATATAAATATTCCGCTTATACATACCTACTTGTCTTCCCAATTGCGAAATCAAAGTGTATTCACTATTTTGGCAGGCGAATCACGCCCACATTATATATTGGTAAACAAAAAGAAAGTGCAATAAAAATAGCGCAGACAATGAAAACTGAAAGTGTATCGCGCAAAAATAAAATGTAGTGATAAACACAATTTACTCACGCAAATATACGCATGTGCCAAATAAATTACAGGGAACTGATGTCAGTGCTGATCTTTGCTAAACACCAATAAAGTATTTTAGATTTAAAAATAACCCAATTTTTTCAATTTATTATCAAATTAGTGAATTCATATTTGAAATTATGAGCAAAACAACATAGAGGCCTTCCATGTGGATTAAGTTTTTTATTAATCTGCAAACACAAACTTTCTAAACACTTTATAAGAAACAAGTTTTTTCCTGAATTCATTGGCAATATTCAACTGAGGGAATTTCACTCAAATTTTTCAACTGACAATCTTGTTTTTCGAATGAATGCGACTAATTATTTCTTTAGTAAAGTTTATTAAGCGTAAAAATAATAAGCAAACTGTACAATTAATCTACATACAAAATACATACAATAAATTATAGCACTTTGGGAAGTTTTAATACATTCTAAAATAATCCAGTTGAGAAAACGGTTGAAGCGCGTGCGCAAATGCAGCCAAGTTTGATTAGTTGCGAATCGAGTTTGACTGATTTTTAATTTTATGGAATATGGTTTTCAATTTCTATTAATATTTTTTTTGGTCACCATTGTTGTCGCACAGCTCCTGTGCTTAGCTCGGTCTAAAAAAACATTTATTGCTTATCTGCGTTGTGTAAATCATGCAAATTAATTTCTTTCCGTTTACCCTTTCGTTAATTAATGAAAGAATAATTCATGAAGAAACCAATATTTTATGAAAAATAACATTTTTTCTTGTTGTTTTTAAAAGCATTTTGCTGAAACATGTTTTGTTTCTATTTTTTTGCTTAGCACACAAATGCTGACCTCATTTTTTGCGAAATTCTTTTTGATAAAATGTTTGACAGAAGTTATTGTCAATCGTACGAAATTGGGGAAATGAAAAAACTGTTCACTGAACCTTCGAGCTCTTGCCTAAATTTAGGTAACGACAAGCAGCCATGTTCCAATGTTTCAGTGGCTAGCGGATCTGAGAATATATCAATAACAGTGAAAAATAGCAGCCAAACAAAAAGTTTTTTGAGACTCTCTTTTAACTAATCGATTTCACTCCACTTGCGCAGCTTTCCGTGTGTTTTTTTGCCAGCGAATTTTTCAAAACTTTTATCTATCATCAAGACAAGTAATCAGTGCGTGGCGAGATGCTTTGCTGCTGCACATAAACATATGTGACTTCCAGAGAAAAAAAGGCAATAATGTGATTATTGAATAGATGAGGCTACTCAGGCGTATACTTTAATACGTGCACACATACAAAGATACTTTTTCGCATAATTTAGCTTATAGAAATACTACGGTCGGTCTGTTTAACGCATTAAGAATATTTTTTGTCGTGCGTACGTCACAGCACTGATATTTTACTCAACCGGTTTACTTTACACGTCACTTAAATTGAATTTTGACGATACTCACGTAAATGTACAAACAGCTGATTGAAACTGTATTTTTTTCTCTTTTTTTCTCTTTTTTTGTACATTAGCGCTTAGAATATTAAAAAAATATATATGTAATCAGGTATGCAAAAATACTAAACAAACAAAATCCATTTAAACCGGATAACGGCGAAAATCTCGTTATTGTTTGCAATGCGGAAATAGTAAATATTCTAGGAATATCAAGTTTTGGGATTTTTTAATGAAAACCTATATGTCCACTTAACAATGCTTTTGCATTAGTTTATTTAATAACTAACCACATATATATGCATAAGTATGTACAAATATGTTAATGAAAATGTGCAAAGTTAGCTGACACTTATAGTTTAATGCGTAAATATTATTCGTTGCCGGGGGCGTATGAGTGACAATGTTTTAAGAAATACAATAACAATAAAATTAAGTAAACAAAAAATTAAATTAAATTGTGTTTAATTTAATTAAATGAAAGAAAATAGAGCAAAAAATATATAAAATGAAATAAACAAATGAAACAAAATAAATATATAACTAAATTGAAAATAAACTAAAATGAAATGAAATATTTTGATTATTATTAACTGAATTGAAATAAAATAACGTAAAATAAAATGAATCTAAATAAAATTAAGTTCAATAGCACGAATTTAAAGTAAATCAAAGCAATAGGAATATCAACACCTGCGAGTGCATTTCTGTGCCTTAGAATAAAATGTAGGTTCCTCCAATTAATGGAAAAAACATTAAGACACACCATAAATTTGAAGAAGAAATCGGCCAGATATCGATCCAGCGGTTAGACAGCGCTAATTATATATACATATATAATATAAAATAAATAAATAAAATAGCACCAAAAATGATATAAAAAATAGCATCAACTTGTTCTTAATTATATTTTTCCAATTCCATTTACAACCTCATATAATTTTATCAGTTCGCTATGTGATACAACGGATAAAAATCGAATCCGCAAATTGGAGATACCATTTTATACTACTCAGCACGATCTGACAAAATAAACTGTGAATTAATACACACAACGTGGACACTCACACACTCGCAAGTTGCTACAGCTTTGCAACAAAATTAATTCACACACACCCATTTGAACGCATTTTGCTTGTGTAAGAATATTTAATAATTCCCTCCATCTTGCAGCGCACAGCGTTCGCCGCCAATGTGTCTGCTGTCAACAAACGCATCTCAACACAGCAGAAATGAAAAATAAATAAATACAAGCAAACAAGTCAGAGAAGGAGACAAAAAAAGTGAATAAATAAATGGTAAATGAGCGGTTAAATGCGGTCACAAAAATAGGAAATAAATCTTATCAGCTGTGGCAAAATACATATGTACATTTAAAGGAATAAAAATGCACGAAATCGGCGACAATGCGAACATCAACATTTCTGGCATCGAGTCAATAGAATTTTGTTTACTTTTATTTTGGAGAAATTCCAATTCAAATGAAAGCGAACAAGAAATCGCTTTTTTATTGTACATCGAGTACTTATCTGTGCTATCTGCCTGTCTGTGAAGGGCACTCACACTCATCCACGGACCCCGCGTTGTAGACACCCACACCTTTCAATTAAGGAACATAGCAGTTGCCAGTGCATGACGTGATACAACGGCATTCTTCTTATTCATTTTTATTTATGAAACGACTTTTTATTTTTTTTTTTATCAATTCCAGCAGATCTGGAAGACAATGTTAAGTCATTTTATTATTATTTTATATTTTCTGTTCACTAAGTAAATACATTTTATATGCTTTACATACGTACACACATACCCATGTGTTTGTGTGGAAAATGAGCTCATTTGGCGCAGAATTAGGTTAACGGTGGTAATAAATTAAACAATGGATTAAGCTTACAGGTTTAATGAACCTGACAACAACAGACAAACAAAAAGGGGAAAAAATATTTTATTTCTAAAATCAGAATCTCTCTTTATGAAAATTTTTTAGTAATGTTCTTTAACTTTGAGTCACCAATATTTTTTCCATTCATCTTTATTTTTATTTACAGTTATTACAAAAATATGAATCGCAAATTTAGTAAGGCCTCCACGGCCTTGAAATTAGTTACTGCCTTCACTCTGCTCGGTGCAGTGGTGGCCTTCGACGATACCTTAGAACTCGACTTTCCTGGTCCTTATTGCAGGGCGAAGAACCTTTGCTGTAAGAACAGAGAAGATGGTTGCGCCATGCCCATTTCAAGTAAGTCGAAAATAATTATATTCCTGTTACACCTGTAATGCTGGCCTCCTTAACAATTACTACATATTTTTCTACTCAATTTACCATTTGCAGCCACACTCTGCTACTGCGATGAGTTCTGTGATCGTGATAAATCGGCCGACTGCTGTCCCGATTATCAGACACACTGCCGAGGTGCCCCACCACCAATTCTAAGATGTTATCACAACGGTGTCTATTTCAACAAATACAACACCACAATGGATAACTGTAATGAATGCCGCTGCCTGGATGGCGGCCGAACGGACTGTGATCGTGATCTCTGCCTCACCGACGACAATTTGGTTAACAATGTGAACTCTATAAATAGTCTGGGTTGGTCGGCACGTAAGTACGGTGAGTGGTGGGGACGCAAATACTCGGAGGGTCTGACATTACGTCTGGGTACAAAGGAGCCCACGTTCCGCGTTAAGGCCATGACGCGTTTGTCCAATAAGGCCAGCACACTGCCACGTCAATTCAATGCTGTGGAGCATTGGGAGCGCCTTTCAAGCGATGTACAGGATCAAGGTGAGCAAATTAACGAAGTATAGTAGAATATCAACTTAACCACTCAATTCTTCCACCACTTTCACCTTGTAGGTTGGTGCGGCTCATCTTGGGTACTTTCAACAACATCGGTCGCTTCCGATCGCTTCGCCATTCAGTCCCAGGGTAAAGAGGTGGTGCAATTGTCGCCGCAGAATATCTTGTCGTGTACACGCAAGCAGCAAGGTTGCAATGGCGGTCACTTAGATGCAGCCTGGCGTTTCCTTCATAAGCAGGGGTGAGTACCGGCCACAGCATGAAATTGAGTGTGACTTTTACTAAATCATTGTATTTCCTTTGCAGCGTTTTGTTGGAAGACTGCTATCCATATGCTGCTCGCCGTGACGTCTGCAAAATACGCCACGGCGGCCGTCGTTTGTTAAGCTCATACGGATGTCATCCATCGACGCGTTCCGAACGCGACGAATTCTACACAGTCGGTCCAGCGTATTCGTTGAACAACGAAACCGACATCATGGCTGAGATCTACCACTCTGGTCCCGTTCAAGCAACAATGCGTATCTACCGAGATTTCTTCGCCTACTCGGGTGGAATATACAGACATACCGCGGCCAGTCGCAGCAGTCCGACCGGTTTCCATTCGGTAAAATTGGTCGGTTGGGGTGAGGAGCATGATGGCGTCAAGTATTGGGTAAGCTTTCAGCTGATTTATTGAATGATTGACACCAAACTACTTTTAATTCCATACGTTTTTGAATCACCGCAGATTGCTGCCAATTCCTGGGGTCCATGGTGGGGTGAGCACGGTTACTTCCGTATTGCACGCGGCAACAATGAATGCGGCATTGAAGAATATGTTCTTGCCGCTTGGCCAAATGTCTACAACTACTTCAAAACCAATTACTGAAGCGACTGAGGTCCGCCGGGCGCGATAAACAGCATGCAAAGAAGAGCTTTTATTGCATACCCAGCAAACATAATCTCGTAAACTTTTCCAGTTAAAATTTTTGCTATTTAGTGACTAAAGAAAAATGAAAGGAATTCAAAGCGGAGGAGTTTTTTACACTTTTTAAGAAATATTTAGAATGCAGAGAGAAAAGTAATATGATTTAGTCGCTCATCTATGCTAAGCAAGTAAACTATAACGGTATTCAACACATTTCTAGCTCTAAGTAAATTTAGCAACTGCGCTTGTTTCGATTCTTTGTGCCACATATACATACATATATGTATAAAAATAATTTGCAATCAGTTTTGTTTATTTTATCCCTTTGTGTTTGTATGTACATTTAATTCTAACTTCGACTGCTCGCAAATATTTTCGCTTAAGTAGTTTTATTAATTTGCGTCCTCCACTCTTCAATGTCTGTGTAGTTTTCTTTTAAATAATTTTATTTTTATATGTAATTTTTTTTTGTTTTTCCTTTATTCTGCGTTAAATATTAATTTATAATTAAACTGCCTGGCAACTCTCTGAGACCAAAAAATTTTCAAAACGAACACTGCATAAACGAATACAAAACACCAAACACCAATAATTATATTAATAAAAAATAAAAAAAATAAATTGGTAAACATCTACTGCCAATAACTGCGAGATCTTTATGTATGTATGTAGTTTAAATTAATTGTTTAATTATATTTATATATTTTAAGTAGCTTCTTCGCACTTTTGTTTTTCATCACCTTAGGTCAGCCATTTCAGTTCGATTTACAGTGGAAAGTTTAAAGTAATATTACTTATGTGTTAATGATTTATATAATAATTTTGCAATAAAATAATATTTATAGGTTAATTTATATTATATTTTATTTCTTTGTACTAGTTTATATGTATAAGTGTACTCATTGTAAAGGAAAGCTCTAAGCTCTAAGCTTTCAGTGAATCTAAATGTTATTTTAATAATTACTGTGAACAATATGTAAAAATAGTAATTAAAATAATAATAAAAATAAATAATACACAAAAGGCGTAACGTTTGCTGTTTTTTTTTTTTATATCGAAGCTAAATCGAAATATTAGTATGGGAAACCTAATGACAGCCTCGGCCTATTGCCGTCACATGCTCATCATATCGACGGGGTGGAGGTCTTCCGCTGATTTTGACTCCTCCGGCAGGTACTGCGTTGCATACTTTCAAGGCTGGAGATCATGAATTCGGACACCATAACTTCGTCAGCATTTCTTTATACGCTGAAGTGTTTCGGTTCAAGGCCAAGGTTCAAATCATAGTACGATCAATATCCAAAATTAATTTAAAATAAAAAACGAAGTTAAATTTTCTAAATGCCCTTGCCAGAAAATGTCTTTCTGAAATGAAATAAAAAACCATCAGCGGAGGCTTACTTACTTACTTTACTGGCGTAGACACCGCTTTCGCGCTTATAGCCGATTTAACAACATTGCCAATTGGAAATACCAAGCACAGCCAGGTTCTTCTCTACCTGGTCTTTCCAACGGAGTGGAAGTCTTGCCCTTCCTCTGCTTCCACCGGCGGGTACTGCTTCGAAAACTTTCAAAGCTGGAGTATTCGCATCCATCTGGTCCACATGACCTAGCCAGCGTAGACGCTGTTTCTTGATTCGCTGAACTATATCAATGTCGCCGTATAACTCGTACAGCTCATTGTTCCATCATCTGCGATATTCAAGGTTACCAATGCGCAAAGGACTACTAATCTTACACAAAACCATTCCCTCGAAAACTCCTTACGCCGACTCATCAGCTGTTGTCTTCGTCCATGCTTGCGAATCACATAGCAGGACGCAAACGTTGAGGGGCTTGTAGAGTTTGGCTATCGTTCGTTGGAAGAGAACTTTACTTCTCAATTGCCTACTCAGTCCAAAGTAGCACCTGTTGGCAAGAGTAATTCTGGCTGGATTATATTATTCTCTCCTGCATCAAATTGAAGAAATCACACGACAAAGAGTCACCCCGTCTGAAACCTCGTTTGGTACCAAACGGCTAGAAGAGGTCCTTCCCAATTGTGACTGCGCTTCTGGTGCTGTCTAGCTTCAGCTTACACAGGGCGTTTACGAATTTCTTCATAGTCAGCTAATGGAACGTCTTTTCCATCGTCATTGATTGGGGTTTCCGGTTGACCATCTCCGGATTCTCCATTTTCACTACTATTCAGCAGGTTTGAGAAGTGTTCCCTCCATAAATTCAATATAATCTGGGCATCGGTGGCTACCTCTTTGTGTCCTACAAGAGTCTGCTCCGTTCTTGAAACCTTCCGTAAGTCCTTGTATCTTTTCATAGAATTTTTGAGTATTACCCTTGTCTTCCAGCTTCTCAAGCTCTTCATACTCACGAATCTCGGCCTCTTCCATTTTTTGTCTGCAGGCGCCTCTTGCTTCCCTCTTCATCTCTCGGTATCTATCCCATACCGCATGTGTTGGTGCCAATCGCAAGGTTGCGAGGTAAGCAAACTGGTTTCTCTCCACTGCGACATGGCAGCTCTGATCGTTTCGTTTGCAGCTGTACATAAAGAGCTTGAAATGCCGTCCCACAGGTCCCATACACCGAGTTGCCGATGAGTGCTCTCTGAGAGTAAGAGTGCAAGTCGTGTAGAAAATCCTCCGGCAGTTAGTTGTGATTGCAGCTTTTCAACGTCGAACTCTCATTGTATTTGTTGACACACAAAGCCGCATGCGTATCTTCAGTGCAACAAGATAATGGTCCGAGTCGATGTTGGGTTGTCTTCCGTCTTCTTGTCCAGCCGTTCGAAGGCGACATAATATAAACTGTAGGTCCCTCCATTGGTTGAAAAAAAACGTTAGACGTAAAACCACAACTTGGAGTAGGGGCTCAGAGGTTACAAACCGCCACTTATATATGTTATGTTTATGTTATGAATATTTATATGACAAGATTATATACGACTTCGAAGTTATGACTCCCAAAAATGGCATCCCACAATTAATAGACCAGAATTTCCCGAGAACGTGTCTCATGCATCTGGAGATTTTCCCATCCAGGCAGCTAGATGAAGTTTCAAAGTAGGATATCGAGACGCTTGAACTTCGGTCCTTACCTGGAATTAACTTGAATCTCAATGTGACGTTACAAAAAACAAACAGGACTTAGAATGAGATAGCAGACAGTCTGAATAAACTAACCCAACCTAACATTAATGTATAATCAACTAAGGGTAGTAGTGAGAGAACAAATTTTTAATAACTTTATCGAATTTTATGTTTCATCCAAACTAACCGATAGTAAATATGTAAATGAAAAATCTCAAAAGTGACTTTTTTCTAAAACTTTGTTATCTCAATATGTATTTATTTTTCCATTACTACGAGTTTATCATACTTAATCAGAAAATATCATTTTTAAGCACTTTCTATCAGTGCATGCATTTATTTTATTTATTTTTTAAGTCCTGTGTTGACATCCTCAGTTGGTCGCTTCTGCTTGCTTTCAGCACACTTTTACTATATAAGTCTACATTTTGTTGTTGCTTTATTTTTAAGCATTTAACGTTCATTGCTTTCTTTTGTTTTTTTTTAATATGTCCGTGATATATGTATGCATTAATTTAAAATGAAAAATATAATTGTGAAACATTTTGCTGAGATTTTATGAAATTTTCCCACCAACAAATTGATTTATATTAAACAATTGATAGTAATCATAATACAGATGTAAGCCGATAATAAGCATAGCAATAAATTTATATCATTTTAGGGACAATCAAGACAAAATATCATACGAGTAACGGTTTTAAAATAATATACAATACAATACAATAATAATTATATAATAATAATAAGAATACATAAAAAGCATTCCAATGAATGTATAATAAATGGAATTTCGTTACAATTTAATTGGTGGAAACAACCAGCTGGCTCATATAAGTAAAGTTAATTATTGTTTATATCATTTCCCTTTAGCGACTATTGTCTGACATTAAAGATGCGAAGGGTATAAGGGAAAAAAGGAGTACTAAGTAACTTCAGTTTTTAATAAAAATGAGCGCTTTACTTCAAACGGAGAGAAATATACGTGTTCCTGTTGTTTTTGTTGTTTTAACCGCAATAAGTATTGCGACAGTGACAGTCATTGGCCGACTGTTGCGTATTCCTAAATGTTGTTGGCGCTTCATACAAATTTGCAATTTATTTCTTAATTTTAACAAAATGTTGTAAAGACAATTCAAATAAAAACTAAACCGCGCGAATACAATGCGTTGAAATTAAGTAAATGTAAGCTATTTTCACTAATTAATGGATATGCCAGCGAATGAAACCTCCAAGCCAGAGTCGTTGGACTCCAAGCGACTTCTTATATGCGTCAGCGTGTTCTTGTAGTGCATGTCGATCTGCTTTGTCTCTTCTGTTGATTCTAGATTCGGTAAGTCCTCATTGATTTTAGCGATGAGCTGGAATAAATTACCAGTTTAATAATAAAAAAAAGTATTCACCGCATAGGAAGAATTATATACCTGGTTTAACATTGCCACAGTAATTAATGAATTTCCTCGTTCGAAGTAGAATAGATAATGATTTAGCAATTCGACGTAGAGCTGCACTTGTACACCGACATCCAAGCACTAAGGATTTGTAAGAAGGATATTTTTTAAAATTATTACATAATATCGCCCGGAAAATGGTGTAAGAACAAAGTTTTATTTTTCTCACCTGCGCAATTATACGCGCGCCCTTTTTTAAGCATTCGAGCGTTCGTTTCTCGTCGCGCATCTCCTCGCCATTCTTTCTGTTCGCATAAAAAGAAAGAAAACGAAAATACCTATAATACCTCTCAGTATTAGTAACGCTTAGCTTCTGCACTTACTTGCCACTCCAAAAGAGTGCTGCACACGCGACCACACCACGGCACTGATCGGGCTTCTTTAGTAACTTGGAGGCAGCAAGCGCACAATTCGTTCGTAGTGGTTCAGCGTTTTCCTCGCTGAAGCATGTCATTTGTTCGAAAGTGGACATTATTAGCATAATAGCAGCCAACTGCGCTTTTGAATCGGATATTTCATCTTCGTAGAGTGAGAAGGCTTGCGTCATGAATTCGTAGGCCACAGTCTCGTGATTTGCATAGCCGATTTCCCCAATGACCAGTGCACCCTGCAGATACAAACGCAACGCCAGATCCGGCAAGTCGGCTTTGGCTATCGCCGCAATCGTACTATGACAATATTGCAATATTTTCTGACATTTCTTATCCCAATTATCATCCGTCTCAGCGATAGACTTGTATTTATAGGCCAGTTGGTATGCGGAGAATACAAGTGGCGGCAGTAAATGCTTTATACGTTGTGGACCGCCGGCGCCAAGATGTTTACGAGTCGATTGTAGTATTTTATATTGCATATCGGGTTCGTCGGACTTCATATAATGTATAAATCTACAAATGTAAAAACTTCTTTGAAACTTTATGGGTTGGGGAAAGGATTAAAACACAAATTACCGTGCAACTATGCCTTGCTCTTCGGCGAATTCCTCCGGATCGACATTGTTGCCATTTGTAGATTGGGACACTGGTTTGCCGTCCGGTCCTACGGGCACTTCTTCATCTTTTATCAGCGGTGAAATTATGGTCAGCACATGTTCAGCTTGTTCGGCTGTTGGTATTAGAGTTTCAAATTCGAGTATGTTCAGTATCAAATATAGCGCTAGCGCCTTGCGGGATGTGTAGTCGAACTTATCGAGCAATGGCGTAAAGTTCTTTAGTTGTATAACAGTCAATGCATTGTTATAGAAATCGATGCAAATGCGTAGGAGGCGTGACAGCTCTTGATTTACCGATAGAAAATGGGAAATGCTGGAAGTTTAGAAGACATATTAATTTTGGGAAATATAAATGTGAGAAGTTGGTTAAGATGGGCATAAGAACAAAACCTGATTTCGTAAGTACTTTGTTCCTATACCAATTTTTGGATTATAAACTAACTTATTCATTTCAAGACTATCCAAAATTTGTGTTGTTGTGCCTAATACTTTATCCACATAATCCACGCGATCAGGGTAGACTTTTTGAGCTAGACTCAGAAGCGCGATTTGTAGAGATATCGTATCTTCCAGCGGCATATCCATGCGCTTCTAATATAAAAGAAATTTTTCATTAATTACTTATTATTAACTGCAAATAATTCTTAATTGAAGCGTACCTGCACGATGTTCGCCACTTGAACGCTGAAAACTTCAAATAACTCCACCTCGGCTGGTATAATGGACTCGATGTCCGTGCCGCCCGTCTGTGAAAGGAATGCCATTATAAGAGTTATAATGAAAACATTTCTAATATATTCTACTAATAAAACAGTCTTTTTTTTACCTTTTTAAGCTCACAAGAGCACTTTTACCGGAATAAAAGTATAATTAAAAATTAATATCCCATTAAATTATTTTACAAACCTTGCCACTTCTTTGATTGTATGCTGCCAAGCGATCAATCAGTGATATAATTATATTTTTAACATTCACCCCAGTCTCCAACTGTGCGCACGACTTAAGGAACGGATCCAAAGTTTGAAGGTGAAACTCATCGGGGAATACTTGTATAATACATTCCATTAAATACTCTTGCGCGATGGCATCACGACAACTAACCACCTGCTCCAAAATGCCCGGCAAAATGTATCGCTGATAGTGAGCCAAAGTGGCAGATTCTAGTTGGGAGAGGCGAACCAAATTAGTGCCCACCAATATTTTAAGTTCTTCACGCTCCTTTTCGCGTCGTGATTTTTCGCTTGAATGACCTTGATGCTGCATACGCACCCACAGTTTGTTCATCTCGCCAAAGTTCGTCAAAACAAATTCGATAGCATCCAAAATATTACCTTCATGTTCATTATCTGCTACCAACACATCGGGCAGAATATTTCGCGTGCACTGCAGCAGGTAGTTCCGTAAGAATAGCCCACGCAACGGATGTTGTACACCACGACACATTTCCACCAAATCTTTTAGAATGCTACGCTTTAGCGTCTTATCTTTTTTGATGTACACAATGCCAACGGTTATCAGCAGATAGAGACGTGGTAAAATTGTATGCGAATACTGCACAAGTTCATAGAAATCGGTCTCTTTGTTACCCTTCTCGCTCAGATACAATTCCAAGTGGCAAAGCTCATCTGTGATGGCCATATCTAAGGTAGAAGAGTGCAAATATTAAATTCAATTCAAAAATGTAGTCAAGAACAAGGCATACTCACACAGCTCGTAGTAACTTTTTGGCGATAGCATGGATGTGCGTAATTCGCTTAGCATTGCGCTGGCACATTTCAGTGCATCCAAAATACGATCCTTGTCTAGAAAATGATTCATTTGGAATGCCTGCTTACGGGCTGTGCCTATAGCCTCGGCCAGAAGCTTCTCTTGATCGTCAATACCACTCGGCATGGTCTGTAAATTTGTGTGAGCAAATTGAGAAAAATAAAACAAATGAACAATTAAATATGTTGCAATGCAATATAAAGCTTGTACGTAAATAGACGCAAGCCAACTACGCGCACGAGTACTCTACATTGTTTAGCGTATTTGCAATCTCATTTCAATTATGATTTGCGTCTTGATACCAATTGAACCAGAGCCAGCGAACGAGCAACAGACCTTCAAATATGCATAGTGCAAAATATTACTTTCAATAAAAGTTTCCGATCTACACACTTACTTCCAAAGTTAAATAGATATGCACACACATAGAGACGATGGCACTGACGTTTGAACAGTATTTTAGATTTAAATACAAATATATATATATAAAATACAAATATATATATATAAAATATATATATATATATATAAAGCACATACATACATACACACATATTTTTGTGCATATCGAATGTTGCTATTCATCCTTAGCAGAAATGCAGTAAGACGATGACACGAATAGAGCAGCAATACCAATTAGCCCAATAGCAAAAGTACGATAAAAATATTTGATATTCACTTATAAGCCTTTTCAGGCACACACATCACAACATATACATAAGTATTATCGAACATTAATGCACATAAATATATAGTATACAAATAAATGAAACTCAAACAACGAGACCCAAATGAATGAATGAAAGATAAGCACGCTTTGCGGTAAAATGGTATGAGCTGCGGGAGCGAGATTTCTTATTAATTAAATACATATTCTTTAAATTAAAAATGTGTGAATTAGTAATAAAAACAAAAGCTTCTCAGCAGCGTTTAGTTTATGACATTATATTAAATGAACTTATGTATAATGAAATTATAGTTTTGCCTTAAGTAAACTGAACTGGGGGCGTTGACCAAAATTGTTACGCAGGTAATAATCAAACTCATTCGCGCAAAATGGTGACAATTTCATTTCACATGAGGCGATGCAGATTCAGCATTGATTCACAATTCGACGCTACCACCATTAGCTAAGGAGCCACCAAACACATACATAAAATAACAAACATTTACTGCTACTTTTGAGTTCTTTGTAGATAAAGTTACTCACAAACCTACACGTTAGTTATATCATAAGCTATTACTACGTAATATGGAGAAATATTGCGATTAGGATAGCAAGGTGTTCAAGAGTTCGGTGGGAAACTCTGTTGGAAGTGGGTGTAAAGTGGTGAGCCAATAAATGGTTACACATTTGCAATTTAACATATATATGTATGTACGTGTACTTTTGCATTTTGTATCATTTACCATGCGGCGTTCGCTACTTCGGTCACCACCGCCGCCACCGGCACCAGCAACACCTCCTCCCTTTTGACTATAAGAAGTGGAATTCCATGGATACATGCCGACCGCCGTTGTTGCAGTTGTTAGAGTTTAATTGTCTTATAGTATATTTATGTTTGTAAAGAAGATATGTAAAAGGATCTTAACTTTAAAACTAAATGATCTTGCCGAAAATTGTTATGCTTGCTTCCCTGCGGTTGCTAGTGGTTGTCGTAAAATACACTCACCAGCGCTTGCTAATCTACACTTTTTCCGGCACCACAATATTATGGTTTTTGGTTTTATGTGGTTTTAAGCAATCGCAATTACCAAATCTCCGTTTTATTTTTTTCTTAACTTGTTAATTATCTCGACTTTCGTCGCTTTTTTTGGAAGTGGAGCTGCTACGCACAACGCTGCTCACTTACCATGTTCTAAACCTGTGCGTAGTGTGTTGATAGAGCGTTATGCGAAACTTTGATATTCAGTTTTTTATTTTGCCTTTAAAAGCTGTAATTTTCCTTCGTTAAAATATCAAAACTTGATTAGAAAAAACTTTTCTTCCAGCAGTAATGAACTCTTTATTACTGATTTTCACTACTTTGACATTTCTCTTTGCTGACGAGGTTTTTGTTGTTTTTATTGTAAATTGTTTTGACATTTAGAGCTGCCAGGCCCCATTTATTTCATAAATTCCATTCAAAAAATATACACAAGCGCTTACAGCGGCACCTAGCTGTGGCGAATTTTAAAGCCAATTATATCGGCGCGTCATCTCTCGGTGAATGTTAGCACAGTGTGTAGTTACAACAGAGAATGTATATTATTTCATATAATTACGACAAATTATATTAACATTCTTCAGTTTAACTTTTAATATTTTTTTCTGATGATCTATTTCCGGAAAATAATATAAAACTCTTTTTTTGTTTCATATTTATTAGTTTATTTTCACGATTTTACTTAGAAAAAATAATTTATTATAATTTCATTCCAATATATTTTACAATTAAATTTAAAATAAAACATTTATGTATGTTTGTTTGAATTATATTTTAACATGCCTCCTATGCTGTGTTTTCATGTTTTAACCAGGCAAACTTTACCTATATTTTCATCATTAACATGGAGTACATGTAAATCCCGCTATAAATCATCATTTTCACCTTGATTACAACAATTCTTGCAAATTCTGTTAACACTTTACTCCAATTTCAGCACAGAAAATATTTTATATACCAATTCTGTACATATTTTGCATATTATTCCTTCAATTTGTTTTGTATATATGTATGCGAGTACATATTCAATTTGTAAACATTGTTATTTGAAAAATTTATTATATCTGGAACGACAATTAGTATATGAATTTCTGTGTAAATATAAATATTATTAATTTCTTATTGTTTATATGAATTTAAATTTTAATGATCCATTTTTTTTTGTTTTTTTTTTGTAAATTTATATATGTTTGTATGTATATGTTTTTTATGTCTTCTACAGCTTGAAAAATTATGCATTGTTTCTTATACTCGATTACGATAAATTGGACACACAAATATAAAAAAAATTTCGAATTGTCTAATGACTTTTAAAATACACTCTTCCTTTGCTGAAGAGAAATTCCTCCTAACAAATCGATTATGCAATTCGCGTGGCACTAATGTCGATAAATTGCGCATCCTTTTTCTTCTTGCTGGCCTAAGCGATATTTCAATATTTCATTATTTCAAATCCTTTCAGATGTACGCATGGCATTTTTAGTGCCAACTTGACATAACCGATTGTTTATTTTTTTAATTCCATTGTGCAGCATATTTGATTATATTCACGTTTATAAATATATATATATATATATATATATATGTATGTATGTATGTATGTAAATTAAATTCTTCTTTTCCTAATTTACGAGTATACGATAATAAAGTGGCTTCTCTAATTAAGTCCACTGACACGGGTCGGGCTAGTGTGGGTACAAAAGTTTACTTTTCAATTACCGTTAATTGAATATCATTTATTTTGGTTATTTTCGATACACCTATTTTTATACGAATACATTTAGAGCTCAACACCGGAATTAATAAATTTGTCTTTTATCTAAAATTGTATTTAACTTTATCGGCAATTAAAATAACTTTTATTCATTTTTTTTTTTAAATAAAGCACGTACAAAATATTCGCTACTTTTACAATTTCTCATTTATGAATGTATATGTATGCCTGTATATAATTTGCAAATCGATTATTCAAGTTAATACTAATTTTTATTAATTAATTGATTTTTTATTGAATTTAGTATAATTTATTATTTTAAACTTAAGTTTATTTAATACATACGAACGAAACTTGTTAACCCAATACTCAATATACAATGCTCGGAACGGATAAGCTGGGCTTTGATTAATCAGATACAATGGAAAAGTATTCGAATTTTCGCATTCATAACAAATTTTCAAGTTGAAATATAGGTTTTTTATGAATTATATATAGTATGTGATGTATTATGTTGTTGTGCGAGTAAAGCAAGCTTAATGTTCAAAGCATTCTTCGATATCCTATATGCTTTTGGAACTTTGATCCTAAAATCTAAGTTCTTTACATCATCGTTTTCATTTTAATTTTTCTGGCATGCCAAATTTTATAAACCGCTTTCCAGCTGATTTTTACTAGTATAAGAGTATTCTAAACAGAAGTTTGAAAGTCAGAGCAGCATACGTGTATGTGCGGCAGAGGGAATAAAAGTGATTCGCATAAAACTTCCTTCGCCTGGCTTGGCAGATGAGGCTCTGTTTACAAAGCGTGACAAAACCACCTAAAATTTATCTGATATCTTCTGTCTTGGCTTGGGTTAAGAACTTTGTGAAACATAAGTTTAAATTTGTCAATCTGCTGTTGGAAAGTTATGTAGTGCATTGGAGAATCGAAGAACATTGTATTCAAGTATTTCTTATGCGTAGTTTCTCTTATAAAAGCATACTTCGAGCCTATACATAAGTCCAATTGAAATTCCGAAGTGAAACGAGGTCAAACTCCTATGTGAATCAGTTTTTATTGTGTTAATGGGGACAAATCATAAGGGAAAGTAAAAATTGGTGTAATGCGGCACATTCGTAATAGAGAATCTTTATATATGTATTTCTCTAGTGCTTTCAATCAAAACCGATCATTTTAACTCAACAGATCGATTTTTTTGCTTGTGATTTGGGCTTATAAGTTTAAATTTCAGGATTTAATTAAAACCTAACACATTTTTATACATAATATCACTTACTAATGCTAAGAATAATTAGCCATTTTTTTAATGTTTTCGTAATTATGAAAAATGTTTTGCTTTGCAAAAAAAAAATATTGCTTTTATTTGTAAAAAAATGTTTTTTTTTTTTGTCAATAAACGTAATGTTCTAATAAACGATCTCAATGCCTTAAAATTGATTAACATATTTGAACACCCTGTATATATGTAAGTACATTTCAAAATTTCCTGCTTCGAACACTTACAATTTAAATGCATATGTATATTGTTTGTATATATACACAATTAATACATTTAGTGAATGTTGCAAATAAATAATCAGAGGATAAAATAAAAGACTTTTGAGGTCAACTCAAAGAATAAATTGAGCGCAATAATAGAAATTATTCAGAAACTAAAAAAAAAAATATTAAAAACATTTCAATTCATTATATATAATATTTGAAAATCATTGTATTGCAATTTTATAAGAAAGCTAAAATGGAACAGTTTCCTGCAGGGTTTGCGCAGTTGGTGTGCAGTTTCAAAATGCTCGATGAAAGTAATTTGAAATCACTTTGATGCGCTGGAGTTTGAAATCGCCACAGTTTATGCGCAGTGCCAGTGCATTTCAAACTGTTTGGTGCATTTTCGCATTTATAATACAACGATAATTTGAATTCCGCACAATCAACATTTAATAAGTAGGTGAGTGAGGTGTGGACTCCGTGGCAGCCTTAAAAAATGCATTTAATATTTATATTTCTTTCACTTAATTAAATAACACACAATACATAGATATATGAATGATGACTTGATTTTTCTTTTTTGTTTTTTTTTTTTGTTTTACATATTTTAATTTGATTTTTAAATTTGGTTTTTATTTAAAAAATGATCTACAAGTAATTCACACTTTCGTGCTTTAATTATTGGATGACATCGATAGTTTTCTGAAAAAACTCTTACTTATGTATTGTTGTATTGTTTAGATACACGTACTTGCTTACACACATATTGCACTTAAAAAATATTTATAACGGTCATGAAAATTGCAACTATATTCGGAGCTGTTTGTATGTGTGAGTAAATACTTTGAAAATGAAAATTTTACGAAAATATAATATTAAGATTTTGACGTTTCCTGTGTCAGCCATTGAAGTCGCAAGTTCACTAAAAACTTGTAAAACCTGAAAATCCCGCCATGAAATTTCAACTTAAGGCTTACGTAGCCAGAAAACCCTGCAGCATAAGTTTTGCCTCGTAATGAAATTATTATTTTTTAGTTATGTGAATCACGTTGTATGTGCACGCGACCTGCAAAGCAACGCCCAGCTGGTTGCTTTACAACTGGCTTATAACTTACATTCACTTTACAAAACTGGTGTTGGCTGCCTGCATACAGTAAAAGGTTGAGCTATTCCGAAGAATTTTTGACAAATAAAATTATTTAGTATTAAATAATAAGTCTGCTGAACTACGAGGCGCGAATTTGCTTACTTTGAGGTTCAACTGAAACTTTTATATTTTGCAACACCGTTAGTCAGCTCGGGTATTGTTTAAGCAACTTTGACTGAAACCCGTGAAATAGCTCAAGTTCCCATTCGTGTTGTTGCTGCCATTTTAACCGACCAACTCCCTAACGTTCGCTGGTAGGTCGCGTGCAAAAGAGCAAACTTGTATCTAAATAATTTACTTATCTGAAATATGCTGTTTCGTTAATACGAAAAATGTATGGAACTCTAAGTTTTAATGTTGTTTATAGTTCGCAATTGAAAATTTGTTTCCTAATTCCAGTGAGTACTTGCTATACGTCAGTTGGGTTACAAAACGGACAAATCGGAGATAAAGTTGAGTATACGAGTTTCTCAAAATGCTTTGCATACAAATTTTGACGGATATTTTATTGTGAGCATTCATTTTTAATTTTTCTTTTCATGTCCTCATGCCATCTATTGACCGAATGTTTAATAAAAATCTGGCAAGACCAACGCCGGCTTGAGTTCGCATTACTACTTTAAAAATATCAAAAAATAGTAATAATGCAACAAAAAGAAATCAAGAGAAAATCGAAATTAAACTTTTCTTTAGCCAACAAAAAATTAAAAATTTAACACAAGTTTTAAGTTCCAATAAATCAATATATTAATCAAATATTCAAATTATATATATTACATTATGTACATATAATCAACTTATACATATTTTATATACAAATACTTAGATAATACAATTTAAAATTCATAAAAAAAAAATACCAAAAATGTGAAATTAAATTAAATAAATAAATAAACAAAATATAGGCTTGCTCTGCATAATGCATATATTTATATGTATAAGTAATTTTTTCCATTTTTCATTTACGGTTTTAAATACTACTCAAGAAAGTACAAAAATACAGACGGAATACAATAATAGATGAAATTCTTAATCAAATTAATTTTAAAAGCGCAAAAATACAAATTTTTAACGCACTTTTTGCCTTATATATATAACCACCACGCATACTGTTTCATATTTTACACGCATTTTACACTTAAATTCTTGTATTTCAGTTGTAAGCAGTTCTCTTTACATACTCCTTTGCGAAGTGGAGTAGCGACTGCTTTTCGAAAATGTAAATATTTTTGCCCTTAGTTGAATACAATATTTTTTCCAATAAGCAATAAGATTTCAATCCTCCATTCCGCACGCACACATTCTTTCATTGCTTCGGCATTCATGTAGCTTCACGCGTGGCCTTTGTCTTGCGGCCGCGTTCTGCTTACAGCACATGCAGATTTTCGCAGCTTTTCGACTTTGAGTCTCGCGCCCAAACACGGCCCAGCAGACCCTTCACCTTCAGGCTGGTCGATGTGCGGGAGCCACGGTATTTGCGGGGACTAGAAATGAAAGTGGAAAATAATTGAAAGTTTTAGTAAAAACTAAGTAAAATTTTAATAGGTAAACAAATTACGTAAAAATAAAAATAAATTAATTTATAAATATTTCACTTCTTCTTTGCGAAAGCAGGAAAATATGAATTTTTTAAAACAAGTTTTGAGTGCAATTTAAAAGCTTCGACTTTGAAAGTATTACAGTCATATAAGTGAAGCATTAAAAAAATCACGTCTTTTAACCAAGTTGTTGAATATTTTTTAATAGCATTTCAGCGCATATCTACTTGTTTATTTATAATCCCATTTATGTGTGTCTGCGCATACTTTATTGGCTCAAAATTTAATTACTGATATTTTTTTCCAATTACAGTTACTCAAGTGCCATCTATGATGCCCTCTAAAATTCATTTAGCATCATTGCAACATTTTTAAGGACATACTTATGTGTGGGTGTGTGTGTATGTGTTTTATTTCCCGCTCAAAACTTTGCCAACCACAAAGCCATTTCATGTAATCAACGATTACTAAAATATTAGGGTGTGGCATTTTGATATGAGATTCGAAAGTTCGAAAAACTGAGAAATAAATTAGAAAACTTGAAAATATGGGCTTCAAATATATATTTGATTTGCATAATTTTCCGTTACTAATTTTGATTTTTACTCGTATGGATCACAAATTCCGTATATACCATGCCATTCGATGCTTTTTTGACGGATTTTTGATCAAAGCCTCTTTTCTCATAAAATCGATTTTATTGTGTAACTCATTATAAGCCCTTAAATATTTTTTTGGCAAAATTTCAAATTTGAAGAGCCGGTCGTATATTCGCTTTAGTGATCCAATCTGGCCGATTTAGACGAAATACTCCATATCTTATTGCGGACAAACCGACAGACGTCGTCATCTTAACTCGCCATTATGACCCGATCGCTCTTAATTTTGATGGGCCTATCTCTAGTAAGCGGTGTCTACGCGAGTAAAGGAGAAGGAAAGAGTGTAAAAATTATGTTTCAAATGTCTTTTAATAAAATCATAACTGTCTAAATCGAAACACCCTACACATAAACGCACAGTAAACATACATAACTAAGCCCAGACATCTTTTACTCACCTGCTTTGTGCACTTCCGGGTGGTGTGTTGACATCGGAAATAACATTATTCACTGGCCCCTGCGGTGTGTTGGGGTTAGTGCCGCCGGTGAGACAAGCGCCACCGAGTGGGGAGCAGGCGCGTCGCTTTGACTTACGAATCGAACGTTTACGGAAGAGGTCCCTGCAAAATAGGAAAAAGCAAAAAGGAGAATGTGTTGAAAGTAAATCAGTATGCAATGTGAATGGCTAAAGAGTATAAATGGAATTTTCCAAGGCAGCAATAAGATACCAGGCAAATAACAAGCAACGCGACAGCAATGAAAAGTTAGAGAGGCAACAAAATAGGCGGCACGTATAGACGTACATGTTTTTTGCTGGTGAAGCACGCAGCGGCGCTAGGCAGATGGGCAATTCATTTGTGGGCCCACAATCAATGAATTTACCCAAATATTGTGACTGCTCTCATATGACTATTGAATTGCCTTAATTGCCGCTCTGCATATTCTATTTGCCCATTTGCCCATTTTTCTATTTCCATTTTCGTTGATTTCGTAGTTAAGCTGTTTTTGTGCTTTTTTAATTTCGTTTGCTTGATTCTTTATTGCCATGCTCATTGCGCTTTCGTGATTAATGAATTTTGTTTTTGTTTCTTTTTTTTTGCTATTTTTTCTCGGCTTTGTTGTTTTTGCAATCACCCTTGACTTTGACAATGTAATTAAAATTGATTTGAAAGCAATAATGCAGTGAAGGCTGATTTTTATTATTCCCTAGGCCACGCATGTGCGACATTCAAATGCGGTATTTTGGTATTTTTGGGTTTTTTTTTAGTTTTTTATTTTTGGTCTTTATATATTTCAACTCACCTAGATTTTTCCGGATTTTCCAATTTCAAACGTATTTGCGACAACAAACCGACCAACAGCTCATCGACATTGTGATTTATGCCCACCGAAGTCTCAATGAATTTACAGTCATAGGCGGTGGCCATGGCTTTGCCCTCTGCAATTGAATACAAAACACAAAAATGAGGTTTTAAAATTTAATTCGTTAATTAAATTTGCGAGAAATGCGTGCATAAATTTAATTAAAAATGATTTTTATTTTACTTTTTGATATTGTTTTATAGTTATACGTGTATGTATATATTTTGAGTAACAGGTGGCGACAAATCTGCGCTAAAAGCTCAAGAGTTCAATGCTGTGTGTGCGATTGAGTGTGTGTAGTGTGTGTGACGTCAATGCGCGATTTTGTCACAGCTGAAGTGCATAATCTTTACTTATGCCTTTATTACTCTTACCTTTACTGTAATGTGTGCGATGTGTGTCTGTTCCTGCATTCTAGAGGTCCTTCTCTTTATTGCTTAATACTTTCTCTGGGTCATTATTAACTGCAAATTCGACAACGGCAATCTGAGTGTGTTAATCACGCGTGTTTCAGACAATTGCCGTTGTTGTACGCACATACATACGTATATGTTTTTATAGTCATTCGTCAATGTCAAAGTCACAAAAACTTTTATGACTTGGATTTTAATTACTTTGTGAGATGCAAAGTTTGGTATTGAATTATGAATTACAGCATGGTCTTGAAGGAGATTTAAATAAATGAAAGAGTAATAATTTTGCAGTTTTATTGAGAAAACATTCTTTGTTAAGAATGGTACAAAAACTTCCAAAAAAAAACTTTTATCTATAAAAAGACTTATTTCTTTTTAAATAATAATGATGTCGGTCATAAAATTATTTTTCCTTTATTATATTTATGCATAGTTTCTAAATTTGATTCCTCATAAGGGCAATGTATTTGAAGAGGCAAAATTATGTACTTCAATTATTAACATAAATACATAAGTAGCAATAGTTAGCCAAGGGACATGGAAACATGGAATGAAACTAAACTGACATTGTCAGTTCAAAGCATAAATAAGTAAAATTACTAATTGCCATCGATGGAGGAGCTCGGATCAGCAAATTGTTCAGTGGATATAAATCGGCAATTATTTATATAAAAGAATATTCATACTGCCTCCGATGAAGAAAAAACATAAACTTCTATGCTAGTTCAGTAGGCAGTCTGTGGAAGAGTGAGGCCAACTGCTATCAAAAGCTTTGCATACAATTCGGTGCTCGAGGTAAGATTCATATTGAATTCATCAATGAAGATATCATTACTACAGCATACTGTCATCATGTGGATATTATGCTATGAAATTCTCACAAAAACCACAAAAATATTAATACCAAAGTACAGCTACAAATATCCACACATATCGTGGGTATTTCAATGCATTACACATTGATTTAAAAAAAAGTTGAATATATGACATTGTCATAAAAATGTGTTTCGTATTGCGCGCCGTAATGTTAATGTGATAATACAAATACAATTTTATTTACATATACTTTCATAAAAACAATTTCACATAAACCAGAAAAGATGCATTTAATGTGTATATATATATGGACATATATGGATATATATTTGAATATATAGGAATGAATATTTACACATATCTATGTATATATGTAAATACTTTTGTATACGTAACTTATCTCGATTATTATTATTTCGACCTCATTATGTGTGTGTATTTTGAGCGTCAGATGGGCAAATTAATCCAAAATATATAATTTCTGTGCATGTAAGCGTTTGGTAAATTGTGAGGTACACTAAACATTGGAAGGCAATACACACATATGTTTTGAAATAAATACGTAAGGTTTTATATATCAATAAAAAGTGTGGAAAGTAATTTGCAAACATTGTCCACAAACTGCGCAATGCATTTGGAGAGACTTATTGATTTTATATTTTTTACTTTGGTAGCAATTATGATGCATAAAAAAATAAAATTAAGATCTTCCATATTTTTTAGATACCGAGATACAACGTAATTTATAATAAAATCTAAGCGGGGTAAAAAAATATTTTACTTTTCTATTATATATATATATACAATATATTGTATATATATAATTGACTCTTTGTAACTGCTGGAGGGATTTTCGGCCGAGCTCCTTCTCCAACTTGTGGTTTTGCGTCTCGATATTTTTCCAACAAATGGAGGGACGTACAGCTTATGCTAAGCCGCCTCCGAACGCCTGAAGGTTTTTATGAGAAGCTTAATTTCATGTCAAAAATACACTTTGAGGGGTTGGCATTCCCTGCCGATAGGCAACCGCAATTAGAAAATGTAACTTAATTTTTTATTTAAATTAATTTTCTTTAACTTTTAGATATTGGTCGCACCAGGTAGTAGACAATGCTTCAATTCAAATTAATACGATCTAGTCTCATCTATTTATACACTCGGCATACGTTATTTTTCAATCATGAAATCGGTTAAGAAAAGTACGATTGGTTACTTTGATAAACAAGATAAGATTGCTTTATTGCAATAATTAAAGTAAATTAATAAATAACTAACCAAAATTTACTTAAATAAAATCCAATTTTTGATTCCAAACATATTAGATATTTAAGTAAGTTTAGTCATTGAAATATTTATAAGCCAAATTTTCTGCAACTTAAATGTTTTTATAATTGAAGATTTCTTAGAAAAGGGGTTTTTAACCTTAACATTGCACCAACACTTTTAAATGAAAACTTTTCTCTGATATTGAATACTGCATGCCTTAAAGTCAAGTACAAAGACTTTCTATGCTCAATTAATGTGCAATTAATTTTTAATCACACCTTCTTTCACCACCCCAAAGGCAGTAACGGCTGTTTTTAATTCGCAATAAAAAAGTATAAAGTAGAAAATGAGAACTTTTCTATGCCAGCAAGCGAAAAGTTGTTTATGTTTTACTAAAATTGCTTCTTAATTAAAAGCAAACAATGTCACTTAGTATGTGTACATTGTAAAGGCAATAGCAAAAGCAATAAATGTGTGTGAGCAACAATAATAGAAGAATTGCAAAAAAATTAAATAAATAAGGAAACAAAAACAAAAACTTGAAGGAATATGAAAAGGCAAAAAATTTTGACCGCAACGACTGGAAGGTAGAAAAGAGTAGGACGAAGGTTGGGTTGTGAGCGTTAAAGTGATGAAGGTAAGAATGGAAAATGTCACTCATACGCACTGTTGTACCAAATTGCGTGTTGCAGGTTTCACTTGGCTTAGTGTCTCTTGTGTGCGGGTGGCAGGCTTAGATTTTGGCGTCACAAAATCGGCAAACTTTTTCTCTCAAAAGCGGAAGTATGTGTATATATGTATGTTCTATTTTGTTTTTAAATTTTGTTGGTGGAAATTACCTTTTATCAACAGACACTTTCATGCCATTTGAGTGAAATCTTATGAAAGACTACACTCATCCCAAAACTTCCACTCTGTAGTGTTGTTTAGCTGACTTTAATAATTATTTTGTAATAGTAGATGCTCAACATAAGCTGGCACTTGATTTTTGAAGTATTCTTTGCGGTCTTCGGTTTCATCGTTTTCTTTTTCGGCATTCAATTACACAGCTCTGATTTGTATATGAATATATATAGTAGTTAAAATTTTCTTAAATTCTCGCCATGTTTTTGTTGGGTAAAAAGCCAAAATCGCAAATCAGAAGAAAAGTACTACAGTCAAAAAAAAAAAAAATAAAAATTGTCTCGTCTGCAAGAAAGTTTGTCGCTCATCATTTTCATTTATGGTGTCATTTTTTTGCTTCCGTAGTTGACTTAAATCATTTTGCTCCGCTGACCGCCACAATTCTTACACAAAGCGGAAGTAGAGAGTCCTTTACCAAGGAAATATCACACCTACACATTTCGACGAGGAATCAAGTTACGGGTATTCGGTTTGCTTCATTTTTTCTTTTTTTTAATTTTTTTCGTTCACCCTCCGACATAGATTCCATAACTTTCAGTGTATTGGGCATAAAAATCTCCGGAACGGAACCAAAATGCATATTAAGAGGCAAGCTCAACTTGACAGTTTGAAAAGAGCCGCCGAAGTGTGAGTTGGACAATGTGGATGCAAAATGTGAACAATATTTTAAATTGAAAAATTTGGAAAGAAATTTAAATTTTAATGTTTTTGAAGCCAAGGAAGTGTGAGGAAATGGAATATATCGGCGACTCCATCAGGCGTTTTGAGTCAGAAATCTTAACCATATCAACGGTTCAAAGTACATTAACATTAAAGAAGCTGGCTGAAGTTATGCTATCAAAATGCTATTATTCAAACGCACTGCACAGTATTCACATACAGGAAAAAATAAATAGGGGGAACAAAAAACAGAAAACCATGAATATCTTTATTCGACATATTTGCTTCCAATAAAGCCATTAGGCTGAAATAAATGAAAGAATGAAATAAATTTACTCAGAGTTTTGCGCAAAAGTATTATTGTCCATATGTATGTTTGTATCGCCCACAGAGCGCATAAGAATAAAAAATTTATGCAGCATAATTTTGGGCGGTTTAACTTGGAATGCAAGCCTCTTGCCAACAAATCCTATTTGAATCAATTTTTATTGTATAAGTACAACAAAAACGTCATTTTATTGCAAATCCAATACAGCAAATCAATTGATTTCACCAGTTTGTGCCACCGATTTTTGCAAGAGTAGCTTATTGACTTATAGGATTTAAGTACTTGAGGCAAAACCTTGAGAAAAATAAATATTATTATACATACGAGTACTGTGTGCTCTTAGAAGCTAGAGAAAAGTTGCGTCGAATAAAAAACTTGCCTTGAATATAAAATTTGAATATTTTGTACAAAAAAAAAAAAATGCAAAATTGTTAGTGTAACAGTGCAACCGCCACCTGCATTTCTTGCTCTTTTTGCTACATATTTATTTTTATTATTTTTTATTGCTGCAAGTGTAAATTCCGTTCACTCACCATCGGATGTCACCAGTCGACTTCTCGCCAAATCCGCTTTATTCGCCACTAATATGACAGCTTTTTGTGCGATATTCTGGTTCGTCCACAAGACCTGCAGCACATGCTCGGCCACCGTGAAACTGCTGCGGTCAGCTGCTGAATAAATGACGCAATAACCATGTGGTTCATAGCTGGATAGACAATCGTCAGGCTATTAAATGATGGTAAGCGTTGGTTGTCGAGTTGAATCAATCAAAGCAGAAGAGACGCATGAAAATAGAAAAATAAAATTGTATTCGTTAAACTAATTGCTGTGTGGATTACATATATTAATGTATATAAAAGAAGTGAACGAAGAATAGTCAAAACATTTATATTCATTGACAGTGTATGGAGCTTTAATTGCGCTACGAAGCACTGCTGCATACATCGACGATCGTTTCTCTTTAGCTGAATCTATTTGGAGTATATATTTGCATATAATAATATGTGAGTATGTATTTTATTATATTAACCCTGTCAGCAGTGCGCTTATAAACGGCTTAAGGTCAAGAGCAGCTGTAGCTTTTCGGCGAATTCCGTCCAGATGGAATAAGTATTATTTGAATTTCAACTACATATGCACACACTCACCAACATTCAAATGAATTGCAGGGCGTGTGGTAAAAATAACCGGATAATCAAACACAAACAAAGTGAGAAGAAGAGGCCCTCAAGCATATGATCACAGCTGCACAGAATGGCTTGGTCACTTTGGTTGAGAGCGATTGTGTGTGTATATGTGTGTGAGTTTGTAGAGCTTGACGCGTCTAAATCATCGTAGTAAACATCAAGTGGCCAGAGGATGTGACCGTAATTTTCATTTCCACCAGCTGTGGCTGGCTTTTGATGACTTTATTTGTTTTAATCCAAGCGGACAGTGTGTGGCAAAAGAAGCCGGAAATTCGCGTCTTTAATATGAATATATATATTTCTCATGTTATGTTAAACTTCGATGGTAGAAGATGAAGATGAAATATAATTAAAATGCAATGTAAAAGAGCTTAGAAATTATTTTAAAATTATTTACAATTATTTTCGTTTATATTTCAACATATCAACATACAAGTATGTACAAATATATATATTTATATACATAATACATTTTAAGCATAATTTTACTCACATTCATTTCCGTATATGCGTGATCGATGAAAATCAATTCAGACTCTTCGCCACTGAGTAATACTGAAACGGCCTTCTCGCCGGATTCGTCATCTGTTGGAAATACAATATTACAGTTATAAAAGATTAAATATGGAATGAACTTCATTAAAAATGTTTTTAAATTCTTACAACATTTGTGTTGTCTACAACAAATATGTATGCAACTCTAGAATTTCAACTTTCAACTTTTTCTGGGTTTTCATGCCACAAAACAATCAACAAAACTTCCAAAAGCACAAATGATTAGCTACAACAAAAATATTTGTTGATTGTTGATAATAACAATACGTAAATACATATATGAAGTATGTAAAGAATAACGGTAAGGCACATGCTTGAGTAAAATAAACTGTTTGTAGTTGTGAGTGGAAAGTATGAATGCATTTGTATTTATGTATGTTGAGATGCACAAATTGCTTAAAAACATAGGCAATGAAACAATTCGTAAACAGAAATAAATATTAAAAATAAAAATAAAAAGGTTAAATTTAAATTTTTTTTTTTAATTTTCAAACTTGACTTAATTGCAATAAAATAAGATATTTCAGTATAGTTTGCTTTATTGCAGAATTCCACAGTAAATTTGTCTTTCACTTGCTGTTCTTTTTCCATTGAATTTAAATTCAATAAAATTATCAGTAACCTTTAAACTGCGGTCCAACAAGCAAGTAAAGCCTAGTAGGATACACTCAAAATATAAGCATTTTGTGGGTATATACGTATGTATTGTATAAGTATATGTATGCATAAGGTAAATGCAATATTAATATTCTTGCATTTACTCAGCTTTTATATTACTGTAATTATTGTGAAGCAAGAAATACCACTTCTTGGAAAATTTTAATGAATGAGTGTCTACCTTAAGCAAATCCACATACCTTAAGAGTAGAAGTTAAAATAATATTATATAAGAGCATTTTAGAGTGGGGAAAGTTTGCATGAAATTCAGGGATTCCAGGTAAAAATGATATTATTTTTGTATTTGCTTTTGGCAATTTATTTTAGACAAACGTTTGTTGTTATTGTTTAGCACAAAACGTATTTCGAATACATTTTTGGTATAACAGTAAAGCAGTGAATTTTATACTTTCAATTGTTAAAATGTCAAAGGGAGAGGAAAAATGTTAGAGCAAGTTCCTGCATATATCCGAGATGTTGGGGTTCAACTCTGAAAATAGTTTCTGAATATTTAAGCTCATTATTATACTTAACTAAGCTCGCAAAATGTTGGTAGCAACGTGAGCAAACAACCGTAAGGCAGACGTTTGAATTTCTTTCGATTTTACCACATTTGTGTGAAGACATTATCTGCGATGATGAACAGACCAATATTTTTACATAAAATATATATAAATACATATAAATAAATAGATATGTATATATGCCGGTGTGTACGTATGAAATTCCTTTAACCATCGAAGCCGTTCATAAAGCCCTTAATGGGTCATTGCCAAATATTAATAGTGTTGTCAATAAGTATGTGGCAGGGTTATGGGTTATCCATTTTGTGGTTTCGAAAATAAACGTAAAAAAAAATGCATTTAGAATAAATATTTTTATGAAATCCCTTTGTTTTGTTATAAAGTTTACACTCTGGCATTGTAAGTGATATTGCCTTCATCATTCAAATGACCGCCTCATGAGTTTTTGCGATTTTAGTCGCTTCAAATTTCTTCAAAATTTCACCAATTGCATGAGCAGTTGGACGATTACATGCACCATAATCCTCTCTTATAGCACGGACTGTGGCCACGTTTGAATTATCACTAAAACAAAGCATGTTTGGTTTGACAGGTCTTAAAATACATCATTGTACTTTCGAAACCACATATTGGTTAATCCTATACATACGTATAAAACCTTTCTGTAATCGCATTGTCAATTACCCTACGAAAGTTTCATTAAATGCAATATTCGCCAATGGCCCACAAAAAGGGATAACGATAGCAATGAGATAAAACTGAATGATAAGCATAAGTAAGAAGTTAAACAGATAACAGTAAAGACTTTTTGTGGCAAAATAATAGCTGCATTTGCAACGAGTAGCGTGCTTTGAGGTTAGAATGCTAGTGATCAATAAATGAAGGAATTAATGAAACGAAAGAAATGAAAATGAGTCGAAAAAATGTGAAAGGTCTTGAGTTTTGAGTAATGAAGAATGGCAATGCCAATGGGGGCTGAGAGGCATTCAAATAAAAAGAATCAGTGCGAAAACCCATTAAAACCCAAATTAAGAAACCAAAATTTTGCCTGGAGAAACTTAAATTTTCAGTTTTTGAACTTAAACACATATACATATTTATCTACGTATCTGTTAGGCAGTGTGCTACTTGGGTGTTTCAAGAGAAAAATCTGTATGTGCATATAAATGGAAACATACATATGTGCACTTGTGTAAATAATGGAAATTATTATTAAGAAAACTTGTTGTTGGCATACCTTTTAATGAAGGTTTGCTCACTTGAACTAGTTGTGCTCATACCGAAGTGGGCAGGTTGCCGAAAGGTTATGGGCGAGGTTTAACAAACTTGCTATTACGAAAGTTCTAAAATATGGAATTGAGCAGATGGAATGACTTCCGTCCCAGATAAGGGAAACTTATATATGTGTATTACTTTACTAAGCACAGTGGGAAGGTAATTTAGTCAAATATTGCCGGAAGGAGAGCGAAAAACGCAGAGAGTGAGTATGACAGAGAGAGAGCGTTAAAGAAGCTAACAAAGTTTATGGCTTAAAGTTCGCATTCAACATTAACGTATTTCCAGATAGATAAATGCGGGTGGAGGGCGAAGAAAATCATGCGTTTGGGGGCGCGTGCATGTATTTGACAAAAACAAATGAAAATCTGTCATACATGTAAGTGTCCCTTGGTTAGTATGTCACTTTAATGACTTTTTTGGCCGAGCAAAAGACTTCTGTGGAAAACTTTGATTAATACAAAATATGAAGAACTACCAAATGACAGAGGGTGAAAACAGAAGGGATGTGGCTTATTTTGTAGAAAAAGATGTTTGATGTTTCTTCATATATGCGTGTGGGTGTGCATTTCGGTTTGGATTTGGCTTAAATGTGATGTCTAGCTCTTGTGCGCTGCTCACTACGTGTACTTGCGGGTTAAGTGTTGTTGTTGTTGGCGTGTAAAAACTTGATTAATAATATTCATGTGTAGTCTAAGGTGTGCACTTAAGTATTTTCAAAATAGTAGCAAATATTTATGAAACTTCGAATTTTCTTTACTTTTACTCCTTACAGCAAAGTTATTAATATTTTTTAGGTAAATAATTATATGAATATATTTAATTAAACGTAATTTAATGTAGAAGCTCAGTTTTATATTTTGCAAGTTTAAAAAAGATTTCTTATACAGAAAGAACAAAACAACTAATGCATAGTTTATTGAGCATAATTTGCTTTACCGTCGGCGGGCTTTTCGATTTCAATGCGTATTTCACATGGACCTGTTAGAGTTGTAGAGAAAGGCGGTTGGCTTAAGTCTGTGTAGATTATGAGTGATGAGTTGTTGCATTTGGTATTTTAAATATGTGAATTTGATTTTATATTATTTTATTTTAAGGCATTTTATTTTATTTGGTTTAATTAATTTCATTTTTATTTTCATTTCATTTTTATAATCACGTTTTTTTTTTAGCAAGAAGAAGCATGAAGAAAAACAATAGTATTTAGTATTTTTATAAATTTTATAGTTTTTCGTCCGCACACATATGTATGTATGTATATGTGATTTGTTAATTTTTTGTTTACGTTAGCCAAAAATTAGAAAACCAAAATTTTTTATAGTGTTGATATATATATGTATGTGGTTATTGTTGGAAAAGGAAGAAAATAGGAAGATAAGTAGAAGAAGAACTTGTAAATACGCAGTTATGTAGAGAAAATGAGATTGACGTAATGTGTTAGCAATACTTGAATAACTGTTTGATTGTACAACAAATTTTCAGATTTGTTTTTTTTTTATGCCCCGAATCATGAGGGAAAATTAATTTGAGTATTTGACAGTAAGAAAAGGCTGAAGGGAAGTGTATACATATGTAAACGCGCTTGATGAAAACACTTCTTTCAATGCAGCAAACACACAAAAATTATCTAAACAATGGATACAAAATAAAAAGTGGAAAATCATAAGAAAATAGCAATTCTAAAGAAATGTGTTGATTCGCGAAAGTAATGATGAAAATGATTCACACAACGCGAACTTCAACTTAAACTGACGGATTCAAAGAAAAAAAAAATAAAAAATAAATAAATATAATCTCTGCAGAGCCAAAATAGCAAAATAAGAACCGAGTCAAAACCATCAAAGAAACAATACTGTTTAAGGCAATTAATTAATCTGATGCCAAATTAAGTGAGAGTGACTGACAATTAATCACATACTTGTGCATTTTCTCGGTTTTAGCGGTGTCTAGAATTGTACTTTCATATATCTACATACATATTTATGCTCACATGTCAGCACACCTCCAGCTACTCATGTGTGAGAAAGTCGCTGTGACGAATGCATGAATGTGGGCTGAGAAGGTGACGGAGCGAATGAATTTAATTGGCAGAACTAAGACATTTAAAATTAATTTAAATGCGTGAAATAATAATAATTACAAAAAGTAATTAGCGGCCGCTTTAGTCGAGAGGGGAAGCAGTACTCCCCACTATGCTAAGGCTTGGCACGCTGGCTAGACGGTTGGCCTAAAGGGCCAACACATCTGAGTTTAAAAAATATTACATGAAAAATTTTAATTAAATAAAACTAAAATAAATCCATAAGCTTAAAGTGTGATTTCGAAACTAAATTAATTAAGTTGGAAAATAATTTTAATTCAAAAAACAAAAACTGAAACGGAAACACACGTCTACAGATCGTCAATGCGTAAAGAAACTAAAATAAAAAATTAAAAAAAAAAAATGATTGAAATTTAAAGACGAACCCACACACTTACTTGCAAAATTAAATATTAGTGCAAACAACAACAAAAAGGTTTAGAAGTACAACAGGCTTGTAAGCGTGAAAAATGCGCTAGATGAAAAGAAGAAAGCAAATGAAACTGATGAGTGACGCTGATTTTGTAGTTAAAGGCTTTTGTGTGAGACGCAGTGACGTTTTTGCTGCTTTTTGGGCTCCCTTTGGCTCGCAGCGCTAAGAAGGGTGCGTGTGTGGGTTGCTAAGAAGGCAAATGCACTGAATTCATGCACACACACATAAAAACCAGTCAATGCAGTGACAAACGAATTCAAGTGACGGACAGACATCGATGACAACACAGACAAAAAGCAACTAAAGTTAAGCGAAAACTAACTTAAATAATTGCAAATGAGGTTAAAGTTAATTAAATCATAGAAATGCACATTTCTCGTTATTGCTGCGTACATAAAACAACAACAAATAATTGGTGGGGAAGGGTACACTTAAGAATTGGTTTGGGACTTAAATTTCCAATTGAAAAACTCAATTTTCAGTGGAGTGTTATGCAGATTTATCTCTTGTTAATATACCTAATTTGCTATTACATTCAAATCGGTTAATGCTTTTCGCTGTACTCACCAATACTTGTATCGTACGCATGCAAATATTCCGAAGTCATGAACTGCGATACCAAAGAACTTTTACCAACAGCCGGCCCGCCCAGCATTAGAACTCTAAAGGAGAAAATAAAAAATTGAACAATCACTTCATTTAAGTTTTCAATAAGAAATTCGTAAATTTATTATATTATCGTCATATTATCCTCTTGAAAAATCGTTTTTCTTGTTTTCTTGTTAAAGGAAAAAATAATATAAATAATATAATATATATATACTTAAAATAAAAAAAAATCAACGCTGCTGCAACGAATTCACCTGTCTCTAATATCCATTAATACAAATCTGGCAAAATCTAACATAATCCCAAATGCTTTTGTTTTCTTCGCCAATTTACAAACACTTAAAGTGGCTTATGCTGAAGTGCGCACATTGAAAAACGAAAGCGAAGAATAGGAGAAATATCAACACTCACCTGTAGGGACCACTGCCCGGATTTGAAGTGCTGCTCTCACGGCTGGACGCCAAACTGCAGGTGGCAGATGTGCGTGCCGAATTCGGTGCTGGTAATTGGGCGGCAGTCAAGTGTTCCGTGCTGTGCGAGCGCAAGCCAAATTTCAAAAACCAAAAACAAAAAGAGAAAAAAACCATTACAGGCATACAGTCGGTACGAGCCAAGTGAAAAAGATCAAAAACAAATAAATTAAAATTGCCAATGTTTACAATAGAAGCGCTATAACACATACACATACAAAGTAGTATACGTATATTGACGTCTTACTGCTGTGATAAAATATGTGAATACTCAAAAATTTTATCATGAGCAGTACAGTAGTTTTACAACATGACCAAAATGTTAGCTGCCGAATCGAACACGTTTAGATATCAGCTCGCCCTTCAACCCGGGTGCTACTCACCTCGAATTCGAACTGGCCACACTGTTGTTGGAACGACTGCGACGACTCTTGAGCGAATCACCGCGATTCACAACACCTTTGCCTGTGATGGAAAAATGCCTCAGTCTGTAGTACTCTTCCTCGACGCCAGTATTTGGCATTGAAGCGACTCTGTGGGCGCAAAAGAAATGGAGAAAAAGAAAAAATTGAATATGCAGAATATTGCTACAACAAAAGAGTTGGAGAAATGTGAATTTTACATTGGAAAAGCAACAAAGCGTTGGGGCACTCTCATTTCTTTTGAAGTGGCCCATAAAAATGATGTGTAATTATGGCATTTTCAACTTACCGTGAACGTTGTTGTGGCAAGCATAACTGATTGGGACGTCCGGACGCACGACTTCCTGGTGTTTTCACCGATTGCGAACGACTGTGATGCGGTGAACCGTAACTGTAATGAAAAATGTGAAGTATTGAAGTAACGTCATTAATTTCATTTCCCAAAGCTATTTTCTAATTGTTTCACTGATCGAAAATAGTCCCGATTCTTTTCCTTTTTTTATTTCACACAAAACTTAAAAAATCTACTCGAATCACATTCTAGTTGACTAGTGACGGATATTAGCGAAAACTGTGATTGAATAAGTGAAATACGTAAGATGGTTAGATGGGTACGACAATAAATGAAAAACAAGGAACATTGGTAAATATCTTGTCATAACGAAGAACTAACGATCTGGCAGATATTTTCTGCTTTCAAATTTATTTATTTACATTAACCAGGTTTCACTCTATCGCAGATAGCAGAAGCAGATCCTTCAATAATTTTCACTTCACCTCAAGGGCCTTTACCTCAATGGCTAGCAACCTCGAAGAAACATTGTAGCTCATACTTGCGTGCCAAAAAGGCATATCTCACTGCAAAAACAAAAGCAATCAACATTGTAAATAGCAGTAGTAAAATTGCTGCACAGTCTGAAGTAAAAGTAAAATAGCTATTTTACGTAGATAAAAATCTGACAAAATAGTACAAAAGTTTACCCTGAAACAGCTGGCAAATAGCAAGGACTCGCCACCACTTGTATGTGCAGTTGTACCTGTCCATCTGATCAGAAGTGTTAAACACGAAAAAAAGAGGAATTAAGTAGAGAAAAAGTTGCTCCTTCTTGTGGCCGTCTTGAATTGCGTGTTTTAATGCAATTTGATGCAAATACAAGCGGCCAGGAAAATGCTCGGAACAAGACTTTGTTTGTTTTGAAAAAAGGCTTAAGAGTTTAACACATTTGTGACCATTAAAAATGCATTTTCCATGCAAAACGCAGTAAAAGGTTGAGGAGGACACGTGTACTGTGGTACTCAAGTATATATGAACATTAAAGAAATAAAAATATTTGTGCTTGTAACGACGTGGTGTAATAACTATGGTATCTGGTAGTGAAGGCGAGTTAGGCAATGACCCAGTAATAGCCCCGCTGATTAGCATTAGCGTCTTAAATTTACCTAAAAAGGTTGTTGCACAACTTTCAAAGACCAAGTAGAAAAGAGAGATAGCAAAAATGGGACAGTTTTAATTAAAGGAAAATTTATTTTCCCTGAAAACTCTTAAAAATTTAAAATGTAACTTAGAAAATTTAAGCTTTTTGAATATAATATACAAATAATTTTAAAGTTCTAAGCACAGACGGTAGACGAAGTTTTGAGCTCAGACGAAGTGGAAAATTTAAACTAATTTAATTCACCTACCAATTAGGCACCTCACAAAAGTTCTCTCCAAACAAAATGCAGCATTTTAATCAACTTCGGCACCTACAGTTCGCTGTAGGCATTCAAACTGCCACTTAGTGCATGAAATTTATGCACAACAGGCGCCAGTGCGTATACGTAACTTGCTTGTATAATGTAATTTTAGGGAAAAACAAATATTTTCCATATATTACACGCTCTTTGTGTACAACTACTCTGAAGTAAGCTAAAAAATTAACGCATGATAGCCTGAAATGTACTCCAAACCCTATTTAAGGCAGCAAATAGATGAAAATACTTCAAAAAAACTACCATAACTACATCTTTTACTTTCATCTTGCTTTGCAACAAATTAAAATTTGGAAAAATTTCTTACTACAACCTAAAACTAAATAATACTCAGCTGCACAAATAAAATGATAAGTGTGTAGGTAAGAAAACAAAATCTAGTCTAGCAGAAAAGACGATGCAACTTTTTGGCAAACTTCTCAACAACTTTCGCGCTAGCATTTCAATGACGCTTAGTTGAGCAGTTAGTTGTTATTTGAGCGTAATGCAGAACTCGTGCATTTAATAGAACTGCACACTGGAGAATAAAGGCGAAACTGGATGGTCTGAGAAACTGTGCTTGAATGGAAAGCAATTAGAAAATGAGTCATTGTAAGAATACTGCAGAAGGAATAGAAACATAGCGAGAGAAACATATATTTTTTTCCTACAGATGTAGGGACCTACAGTTTATACTAAGCTGCCTCCGAATTGCTGAAGGTTTTTATGAGAAGCTTTATTTCATGTCAGAAATAGACTCGGAGGGGTTGACATTCCCTGCCGAGGGGCGACCGCAATTAATTTTTTATTTCAATTAATTTTCTATAACTTTTTGGATGTCAGTACGATACTAAGATTTGAACTCGAGCCTTCCGAATGGCAGTAGGCAATGCTAACTACTCAGCTACCGCGGCCGCCAAACAAAACAATTGGACTTATGAAAAATTATACTGCAAAATTAATTGTAAACTTTACAAAGACTCAACAACTAAATGAACTTATCGTTTTCGTTGTTACTTCTATCTAAAAGCAAAGGGAAGGAATTTCAGAAATTTCTACATAAATAATCCAAAGTAATTCTTTTACATTTGTTATTCTTATGCTGCACTTTTGTCTTGCACTTAAAGGAGAATATTTGTTTTTTGGTGCACACAAGCAACAAGGATCTCAATAAGATACGCATTTATGTCGCTCTTGTGAAATTTTCACATTCTTCGCAACATAATGCGCTAGCAAACACTTTGTTTTTCCAAACGACACTTAAATTGGCAACTTTGGCAGCTTATTTACTAAGTAGTTTACATTATAATTGTACATATATTGTGCTTGTAAACACTTGAACAGATATCTTTGAATAGGTTAATATGTATGCAAATAATTGTAAGACAAGGAGTATATTTGCGGAGAAAAGTTGTTGTTGTGTAAGTAGCTGTGGGTAAATTTTAATAGGCTACACTCTTCGGTAATGAAATCTGTTTTTGTAGAAATTGAAAGTCATTCACAGTATAATACATATATCGTACTATGGTTTATATGGGTCGAGGGCAGTAGCCGTACTTCCAATCGGAGGGCTAAGGAAAGAATTGCAACCCTCCGACCAACATCCAAATTTACAGAAAAATATTTTGTTCTAATTCGGTCGCCCTCCGGTAGGGAACTCCAAGCTCTCCGAGTGTGTTTTGACATGAAATAAAAGTTCTTCAAAAAATCCACCAGAGACTGAGTACTAAAACGTACACCACAAGCCGTCAATTATATACGTGTATATGTTTTTATATGGTGAGTAAAAATTTATTATTCTTTCATCTAACGTTTGTATGTATTTTGATAAATATATTCAAAATTTTTCATAAATTATTAATGTTATGACGGATCGTAGACTTTGAGCTTCTTTCAAAAAACAAAAAAAAAATAATGTTACACTCTTGCCCATTTCCAATTATTTATTTATTCTTTAACTCTTTTTCCTATTTTCCAATAAGCTTTCCATTGTTTAGTACGAACCATTTTATAGCTTTTCAGAAAACGAGCAAAATTATATGTACAAGACGGTACATTTACGCATGACGTTACATACATACACACATACAACCTCTCAACGCGATGCCATAAAATTCAGTCACACTCTAAAGGCGTGAGAATTTCCATTGGTTTTTTACTACAAGCGAGCAGTTGGTAGCTTTGCCATTATTATTGTTGGCCATTGGCATTTATTTTCTTAGCAGTTGTTTTGACGCGATGTCTGCGCTGCTATTGTTCTCGGAATTGAATTGTGCTCCATGGATTTTTGATTACATGTATTTCGAATTATTTTAGTGAGTTGTTGCTTCGTAATTATCTTTAACAACAAAAAATCGAAAAAAAAAATTTTGGATTGGAAAAAAATGTAAAGAAAATTCAAATTAAAACTAATTTAAAAAGATGCTAATATTTTGAGCTTAAATTTCTTCTGTTCTCAAAAACGCTACAAAAAATAAAAAAGTGCAAGCAAATACTTTTAAACGCAATAATTTTTTTAAATTCTTTAAATTTGAATATACAAAATAAATTATAAAAGATGACATCTAATGTTTCCGAAACATTATTGCTTCCATAACTATTTTTTTTTAATTAAAGAGTAAAGACCTAAAAATATATTAAATTGAACAAACTGTTTAACTGTTTAATTGTTTGATAAATTAATTTTGTTTTTAAGTCTTTACTATCTGCATATTTAGATTTTAAATTTTACATTCATTATTTATTCATATATTTTGTGCTAATATATAAAATAATAAATTTTATTTATCATTTATGTCTATATTTTTCATTTTATCTTTTATTGTATATATTTTTTAACTTTTTTTCTATTTTGGAACTTTGGAACAAGCGATTTGTTAATAAGCTACGTTTTCATCAAATTTTTTATATAAAACTTCGCACACAAGTTTTTTGATTTTAATCAAGGCATCTTCATTACATCGCCTTAATAATTACCATCTCTTTCATTTTATGTTATTTTTCAACAATATACCCGTTAAAATTACAACAATTACACGAATTCTCAAAACCTTTCACCAGCAGAAATGCTTTTATAAACATTTGGCGCGACGCCAAATTACAGCCATTAGCGGCCAACATATACTACTTTGCGCCATTTGCCTCAACTGTCATAAAACTCTAACTTAATTTCCGCCAATCCAAAAGCATAAAGTATGAATATAGGGAAGCACTCGCCCTTCATAGGCAACACCTGAATGAGTTTAATGGTTAAATGGTGCTTTTGGCGAAATTATGGGCTATACGTACCTAGTAAATAGCGAGGAGCAGCGTTGATATTCATTGTGAAGGTAAATGGCAGACAACGTTGCTACAACCACATACATATATGCACACACACATACACATACGCCTGTAGTTATGCATGAGCGCCGTTACTTTTTCATTTCCTTGCTTCTTTAACCAGGTAATCTTGCCCACACACACACACACTCAAGTGTATGCATCGCGTAATGCCTTCTTAAGCACCTGAGACGCAAATAAAATCGGATCATAATTTAAGCTTGCGTGTTTGCATCTAATGCGGTTACCTTGAGCACAATGGAACGTGAAGTGGAGGATGGAAAAGGACAGATAAGCAAACAACATTTTTTGTGAAGGTGTTGAAGGAAATGAGAGACAATTATTTTAAGCATTCCTTCTGTCGCTGCTTTGCCACACCGACTCATGTTATTAGGCGCATTAAGAGTTTTTTGTTACTGTTGCCAAATGTGCAAGTATCATGCACACATCTCAAATGCCGTGCAAACAAAAATAAATTATTTTCTACTCAGTGCATTTATGATTAAATGTTACTCATACCGCCCGTACGACTGTAAAATAAACGGAATTCATTTCAATGATCTCTTTAAACGGAGTAATTAAAAATTAAACTGAAAAAATTCAGAATTAGAAAAATATGATGAAGCAGCGATGGCTTTTTATAAGAAAAATTGGTAATAATAAATATAAATTTTATTTCGGAAATCAAAAAACATAAAAGAGAATTTTCTTAATAAGTTTTGATTGTGATATAATATAAGAACGACTCTCACGAACGCATAATTTTTAATGTGAAAGAGCTTTTATAAAATGAAAATTATTTATTTTATTTTTATGTTCATATTTTGATTATTGCCTTCTTTACCATTTTGTTAAAAAGTTTAGATTTTTGTTAAAAATATTTTTATTATGCAAAATTACTAAATTAACTAATTAAATAAATTTACTCGTATCTGCTCATGCATTTCTTTTTCTTCCCTCTCTTTACACATATATCCACTATATGCGTTTATATTGTAGTTTCCACTGCATAAACCGTTTCTCACTTACCGCATTTCAAAATCACGCAACTCTTCAAATGTCAACGTATTCGTTACATCCAACAATTGCCGCATATTTTCATCACGTTTCTGTTGTTGCTGTTGCTGCTGATGCTGTACAGCTTGCTGTGATTGATGCTGATGATGTGCGGCCGGGTGATGTGGTGGATGTTGTAATTGTGTTGAATTGCGTTTGCGTGCGTGCACACCAACGTTGGTGCCATTTGCTGTGCCAACTACTGTTGCTCCGCTTGCTGTTAACGTCTCTTTGCCCTGCTCGACGCTGATGAAATCACCTTCATTCTTGATAAGCAACGTTTCCACTGTGTTGTCTAAGCTCAAGGACGGCTTTTGCGAGGACAACAACAACGAACATTGATAGTGGCAGTGGCAGTGGTAGAGTGAGCAGCAACCGATAAATTCCGCAAAAGTTGACGAAAAACCGCAGCATGTAGAATTTCCGTTATTGTGAGTGTCATGAAATGAGAAATAAGTGAGGGAAAATGGTGGAAAATCAGTTAAAAGATTTCACAAGTTGTGGTGAAGTAATGAAATTTCATTTAAAAGGCATACGTAAGTTTATTCAAAATCTGCAACATATTATATAAATTTATGTATGTGTAAATTGTAGTTTAAAGAGAATATTTGTAGTTGTTAGAGGTTTTTTCTACGCACATATCTTATTTATTATGTAGCGACAAAAAATTATATTCACAGAACGAAAAAAAAAATCACAGTAAACATTCTCCTATATGAATCTGTCGATTAGCAGCAGCTAAAGTGGGCTCAGTGGTCGCACTTAAACCGTTGAGAAGACTCATTGAGCTCCCTAAAGATATGAGAGCTCGGTGGTGCAAGATCCGGGCTTTACGGTGAATACATTAAAACTTCCCAACCAATTTCCATCACTTTCTATTGCAAAAAAGCATCACACATCGTACATTCATATCAAAATAACTTCTCACACGAATAATAAAATTCAGAAAAAATATTGGTTAAAATGTCAGCTGGATTTGTGCAGTCCCAAAAAAGAGTGTCAACACCATTTATTGACAAGCAACGCCGAATTGATTTATTTACCATATATTAAATGAAAAACAAAAAATTAGATTTGATTTAGAAGAAAAGAGGAAAGAATTTGATGAAATTCTCGCTGTTACCGGTTCTTTCGGCATTTAAAAATATCTCTTTGTTTTGAAACTATTCAATGAGGTGTTAAAAAACAGTCTCAATCGACACACATGAACTGCTCCCCTCCGTGTAACAGTAGTTTTATCAGCTGACACCTATCGGTTCTTTGTAACCTTGCTCTGATTTCCATCTATTAGTTTGTTTTCTGTTGCTATTGTTGGGTTTTATGCTTATGCACTTTCACACCTCAATGACGATAACAAAATGCTGTCAATGTGGCCTGATGTCAACATCAATATCGGTTCTCATAGTTATTGTTATTGTTATTGCCGTTTTTTTTTAGTTCGCCTTCAATATAAGCTTTTTTACTGACTTCATTTCATTAAAATCCATTTCAGCCAAGAAATTTACACCCTTCGCCACACCCCCCCTTTGAGTGACGCCTGCGAATGGGCCGCATGCAACATCCAGCACTGAAACATAATTCACTGCATTTATATGTAAGGGTGTGTGTATGTTCTTGGCATGGCTGGCAATCCTGCTTATCGCTTTGTGCTACTCATGCGATACCCTCAATAGTCAGACAACAACTACCACTTACATATGTATGTATTGTATGCATTTCACCTACGATAAGCAACTGCTGCTTCAGCAACAACAACAATAGTTGGCCATAAGCCACGTAAGCAGCAACGACAAGTTGATAGTCAATGTTGCCTTTACAGTTACTTTCAGCGATTTCCTGTCGACGGTGAGCTTACCACTTGCCACTTGCCACACGCAAGCTAGCACAGCAAGTTGACTGGCACTCATCTGCCACGTGGGGACCTGCAGTTCCCTGCTGTATGCAGTTGATTTTGTGCGTTGTAATTTTTTTCAGCAATCCTCCCCCTTCTGCTCTCCCCCACTGAATACACTGCATGAAAGAGATATGTATGTGCCTGTGACAAGCTGGCGAAGATACCATTCGCTTGTAATAAGTCAACACAGCAATACTTCCTTACCTTCAGCGGGAGTTATAGTGTTTTTTTTTAATTCTTTTTTTTTTTTTTTTGTAGCCTCACCTGTGTTTCGGCTGCTGACAGAAAGAGCTCTGCATACATGTGTATGTGGTTGGTTACCTCATTTCATGTATGGACGTGCAAATGTCGTTTAACCTTCACAGCTCGTTGCACTTTTATTAATGCAACTTATGTGTGCACACATACACCATATGCCTGCCACAACAATAAACACAACAACAACCACAACGCTAGCTATCAATCTACATAAATCCACAAAGCCAGCTCATTTGGGGTTCGTTGAATGTTCATTGCCTTACCTGCGCGCCTCAGCTGCTGCCACTGCCGCTGCCGCTGTTGGCACCGGACGCGTGGCGTATCAGTTTTCGTTTGGGCGTATCGAATGGCGGCGTTGTGCTGCGCGTATTAAGAACCAATTTTAAATCGATTTATGTCGGTGAAATGCAGCGTAGCATGGGTTCAGCTGACAGGGCGCGTGAGTAAGGAATAAGTAAGTAAGAATGAGAGTGACTTTTTGACAAAGTAGATAAACAGCACAGACTGAGTTGCTCTGGTTGAGTGGGCGATGATTTATTCCAGTTTTTCTGCCGAACTTAAGCTACCTACATGGCTAGCCCCTCTATTCAATAAAAACTAACCAATTTAATATAATTTTAGCTTTGGAAGTGATTTTCTTTTCATATTTCTTCAGGCGAATATACTCGTAGGTGGAAAATTGACTATTTTTGATTATTGAGGTGTATGAAGTGAATTTTGAAATTAATAAGGGAATTGTAATTTATGGGCACAAAAATTGTTAAAGAACTTAAAGTTCTGATGAAATGACTAACTTATTCACAATTAAAAACCTCTCGTGGATCGCTTTTATAAATCAAGTCTCCATTTATCGGCATTTTCGGTTAGTTAATTTTTAACAGAACAGACAGTGACAAAAACTGCGGATAAAAGGAGTTATTTATAATGACTTATATGGCTATCTTTTGCAGTCCTAACTCGTTAAGGCCACAGATAAAGAAGAATTTTCGTACATTATCCACTGCGTGGTAGAGATTCGACTCGATTCGGCACTTTTTCTCGACCAGTCCGTAATGAGTTTTGAATTATTTCACGCTCGGCTTGGAACTCGATTAACGTTAGTTCAGAACTCGATTCAAAATAAGCTTGAGACCGACTCAGTATTACTTCCTACATTACACATACATACATACAAATTTTTTTATTTTGCTTATGGTTTTATGAGCCTTCACATATGCACACAAACATATATACGGGTATGTGAGTGTTTTTTAATGGAAGAAACAATTGCCATCTAGCTCAAATGAAGTTTGCCATTTTTGAAATCCATTTATATTTTATTCTTATTGGGAATGAATTGTGTTAGAATGAGTGTATGAAAGTCTGCTTAGCAGATTTTACGCCAACAAGTAACTTTTATTCCATCCCATTGGCTTGCCGCAGTCCCTCAAGCATCGGGATTACTTAAGTGGCATACACACCACAAGTCAATATTTGAAAAGATTTTAGCATTGCGTTGGGATTTGCAGTGTTGACACGTGTGACACAACATTTTATTATATGACATTAGGCCGTTGGTATATAAAAAAGATAATTAAATTATTTTTGGTTTGAAATGCCGTTGAAATTTATTTCCAAAACAAAGTAATAGAAATTACATGGTATTTAAATTTTAAATACGAATAAATATTACTGAGTAAAAGTGTGTTAAACAAATGTTTTTTATAATTTTTATAGGCTTCATAAAATCATTAAGGAAAACTCATTTGTTTATTTAGAAGTTTTCATTGTCAAAAATAATTTATTTCAAATTTAATTTGATGTGTCTTTAAGCATTTCTCCCAACATTTGGCGCTACTTTTGTGGTTTCGCCGCCACAATTCAATTAAATAACAAATAAGCTTTCACACCTTCCACGTTAATTCATTTTCAACAAAGTTTATATGGCCTATGCATATATACATACTTACACAAGGCTTCATAAATGTCTACTAGTGTTTATTTTATATAATATTATGCCTCAAAAACGAATGCCACCAGACACTTAATACACTTGACGTTTATAACAGCCATAATGAGCGCGTTAATGAGTGCGGCTGTTGGAACGCTGATGGGCAGATTTGATTTTGACCGACTCAACGCCAGCACCATTCGACTGATGATGTTGGGTGGTTGGGAAGAAAGGAAAGTGTGGGGATAACGATAAACGCGTTGAATCGTAAAAAAATCGTACTTTAGACATAAATAAGTATTTTAAGAGAACAGGCAGCAAATAATACATATATGCATACATACGTGTATGTGCGTGGGCAAATAAAAGTTAAGAACGTATATACCCTGCAGGAAAAAGTACTAGTTGTCAACTAGAATCCAACTATTTATCATTTTTACACCAACTAATTCATCTCCATCTATTTTCCATGTAAGCAACTGGCATGTTTGACACGGCGATGTCCTACGAGCTGACAATTGTCCTAGTAAGCATCAGCATGTTGAATTTATACTTCAATAAACAAAAAAATAAAATTAAATTAAAGAAAATTTAGATCGTTGGCTGCAAAAATCGAACCGAGACTCTCACCCATCACTGTAAAGACCTCTAACCACTAGGCTATCATTATAAAGAGTGTGATCTGCCCGATTTAATAGAGCTTTATAGAAAATGAAACTCTGAAGGGCGTGCTAAACACAACAACAACATGCGAATAGCCGAGGAGTAAAAATTTCTAGTTCACCTAAAAGTAAAAAAAAAAGTAATAAAGGGCTCGAACCTGCAGACTAACGCACTACAGTGATAGCCTCTAACCAGTCGGCTAATGGTGGCGATGTAACGACCACCGTCATTTCGCACACTTCAATAGAACAGAGCAGCGAATGGAAATCAGCCTCGGCGTGCTGATACAAATAACGAATTGGTATGATTTCATCTTCAACATACTGGTATTAAACTAGTTAATTTTCCCCTGCAGGGTAACAACTAATGTACTATATGTGTATATTTATATGTTTATTTTAGCCTGCATGTATACATGTGCTTATTTGTATTGCATACTTTTAGGTAAGGTGATAATTTTGATGATAAATCTCTATACTAAGGCACGCTAAAGCCACATGGAGGACAAAAATTGTTGAAAGTATATATTTTAAATGCACACGCATAACGATCTATATACGTTTTCG